TATGGCAGGCGCCTGTGGTCCCAGCTATTTGGAAGGCTGAGGCAAGAGAATTGCCTGAGCCCAAGAGTTGGAGGTTTCTGTGATCTGTGATGCCAGGGCACTCTACTGAGGGCGATATAATGAGACAATTTCAAAAAAAAATAAATAGTAACTTTAAATTTTCTTTAGGCTCACAAGTGTAGGTGGACTGTGGTTGATTGTCTTCAGGGTCTGCTTCTGTGGAAGGTGGTGGATTCCAGGATTTTTCTCCTGTATAATGTATCCAGGAAGCTAGTCCCATAACTTTTATAGCTGTAGAAGAAGACAAGATAACAGAAAAGAGACCTTCTCAAGTTGGGGTTAGGGAAGGTGAATTGGAGGGAAGAGTTTTGATCATGACTAGATTTCCAGGACAGAAAAGCTCCTTTAGTGTTGAATGTGAAAATGTAGTTGGGAGGTTTTTAAGGCTTTGTTGAAATTTAGCTAAAGAAGTAATATGTTTTAGTAGTTCTGTAGTTTCTTGATCTCATAATAAATTGTTAGTTTAAAAGGGTCTTCCATATAATAATTCAAATGGCCTACAACTGAGTTTCTGAGGTAAGTTTCTTATTCTAAGGAGAACAATGGAAAGCAATTTAGTCCAAGAGAGATGATTTTCTTGAGTTAGATTTCGTATCTGTCCTTTGATTTTATCATTCATTTTTTCCTACCTTCCCAGAGGACTGGGGCCTCCAAGAGCAGTGTAGATGATATTTTATGCCCAGGGCTTTAGATGTTCTTTGTGTCACAGCTGCCTTGAACACTGGCCCATTATCACTTTGCAAACTCTGAGAGAATCCATTCCTGGGGATAATCTCATGCCCTAAAGCCTTTACAACTTCCTGGGCCTTTTCTTTTCTGCAAGGAAAGCTTCAACCTAATTAGTAAAGGTATCAACAAATACCAGCAATATTGTATACCATTTACCTTAGGGAGATGAGTGAAATCCATTTGCCAACCTTCACCTGGATATTTACCTTGTTTCTGAATACCTGGGGGACCTAGATGGTGATTTGAAGGATTGTTTCTCTGACATACCTCACAGGTCCTTGTTATCTGTTTTGTGGTTTTAAATAACTTTATTCCATTAAAGAGAGCTTTAGCCATTAGGTACTAAAATGAAAAGACTAATGTAAAGTTTTAAGTATTTTCCATTGGCTTGCAGCAGGTAATAGCAAAAGTCGACTTCTATTTTGTAGCCAGTCTGATGGAAGTAGTGAGTAGTCTCTGGATAAAGCCCATTCCTTTTCTTTTCAGGTATATTGAGGTGCATGATTCTTAAGTGACCCCTCCCAAATAAGGGGTTCCACAAGGGGAATTATTCCTTTCTGTGCTGCTATTTTAGCCTCTTTATCAGCAAATTGCTTACTTTCAGAAATTTCATCTAAGGTCTTTTGGTGTCCCTTATAATGAATAACTGCTACCTCTTGTGGAACATGAACGGCTTATAACACCTGTCTATTTCATGATGATATTTTATGGGGGAGCCACTGGAGTTAGGTATTGTCTTTCCTTCCAAATAGCAGCATGGGCATGTAAAATGAGGAAGGCATATCTTGAGTAGTGTATATATTGACTCCTTTGTTTCTCCCAATTTCTAAAGCACAGGTTAAGGATATTAGCTCAGCTATTTTGCACACTGGTTCCTGAAGGGAGAGACCCACTCTCAATTATAGAATACTGAGTAACTACAGCATAGCCTGCTTTTTGATTTCCATCTGTATCTAAAACCATGTCAATTTAGATGAGGAGGTTTCTTGTAAGTCTTCTCTAGCTGCATAGGTCTGTGCTATAATTTGTTGGCAGTCATGCTCGATTTCCTCATTGGATTTAGGGAGGAAAGTGGTAGGATTTAAAGCAGCACAGGTGCGTAATTATAGCACTTGTCCTTCTAGTAATAAGGCTTGATAGTTTAAGAAGGTGGTTCTCTGACAGCCATAGATTGCTTTTTGTATTTAAAAGTCCGGTAAGGTCATGAGAAGTGTAAATAATTACATGTCTTCCTAAAGTTAGCTTGGTTGCTTCTGGGGTTAAGAGGGCTACAACCTGTAGGCAATGGTGTCAGTTTCTTTACTAAGATATACTACAGGTTGTAAAACTGAACCCCGGTTTTGGGTCAAAACTCCCAGGGCAATTCCAGTTCATTCTGTAATATACAGATTAAACTATTGTCCAGTGGGATGACTCAAAGCAGGGACCTGCAAAACAGCAGTTTTCAACTGTTGAAATGCCTTACTTGCTTCCGGGTTCCCATTCTAGAGTGACTAGGCCCTCTTTTTGAGCATTTTTAATTAAAGGATAGAGTGGTCTAGTATTTCATGACATGCATAAATCCAGAGTCTGCAAAAGCCTGTAATTCCTAAGAAGCCTCGAAGTTGTCTGAGAGTTCGAGGTTTAGGGTGAGCCAGTATTGGTTCTATTCTGTCTGTGCCCAAGGCTCTCTTCCTCTGTGAAAGCTGGAGACTGAAATAATGAACTTCAGGCATACATAATTGGGCTTTAGCCTTGGAAATTTTGTGCCCACAATCAGCTAGAAAGTTTAATAAAGTTTGTATAGCTTTGTGGCATTCCTCTGCATCTGGTGCTCCCAAAAGAATATTATCTACATACCAAATAAGAGTCACTGTAGGATTTGAAAAAATGACTCAAGGCTTTGTCTAAGACTTGTCTAAAAAAGTTCCTAAATCCCTGGGGTAACACAGCCCATGTGAGCTAGGTGTTGGAGTCAGAGGGGTCTTCAAAAGCAAAAAGGCATTTTCGTGAAGTGGAATGCAAAAGAAGGCATCTTTTAAGTCTAGGGCTGTGAAATAGGCAGCCTTTTCAGGTATATGAGACAGTAAAGTATATGGATTGGAAACTACAGGATGGAGAGGAATGACCACTTCATTTATAATGCAGAGGTCTTAGACTAGTCTCCAAGTTCTGTTTGGCTTTGGCACTCCTAGAATAGGAGTGTTACATGGACTATTGCAAGGTATAAATAATTTCTGTCGCTTTAGATTCTGCATTATGGGTATTAGTCTATTCTTAGTGTCTGCTTTTAGAGGATATTATTATTATTATTATTATTTGCAGTTTTGGCCAGGGATAAGTTTAAACCTGCCACCTCTGGCATACGGGGCCGGTGCCTTACTCCTTTGAGCCACAGGTGCCACCCAGAGGATATTATTTTGATTGGGATAGATGGTGAGATTCTTTAACTTAATTTGGACTGGTTGAGCATATCTTGCTCTTCCCACCTGTCCCTCAGTAGCCCACACTTCTGGGTTAATTTCTGTCTCTGATAAGGGAAGGCATAATATAGGTTCTTGTTCCATATTCATATAAATGGTTGTTCCTGCTTTAGTTAGTGTGTCCCTCC